AGGACGTGGTCATGGATGAGGAGGTCGAGGAGACAATTATTTTCAAAATAATGATGAAAAAAGCCAAAACTTTAACCAAGGAAGAGGCCGTGGACGTGGAGGAAGAACAAATCGATGGAGGTATGATAAATCAAATATTGAATGTTTCAATTGTCATTGTTTGGCCATTATTCTTGGCAATGCTGCAATGATGTGGAGGAAAAAAGCAACCTTGTAGAGAGCAATAAAGAAGAAGGAGATCCTACTTTGCTTCTTGCTCACAAAAGTAATGAACTCAAGGAAAATAATATGTGGTACCTTGATTCCAATGCAAGTTGTCATATTAGCGGTAAAAGAAACTTATTCATGGAGTTGGATGAATCTCTTGGCGGCAACATCACTTTTGGAGATTCTTCAAAAGTCCAAGTGAAAGGGAAATGTACGATTTTGATTCGGTTGAAAGATGGAAGCCATCAATTTATTTCTAATGTTTTTTATGTGCCGAACATGAAAAGTAACATTTTAAGTTTGGGACAACGTTTGGAGAAAAAGTATGACATACACTTAAAAAATAGAAGTTTGACTATGAAAGATGAATATGGAAGGCTGCTAGCCAAGGTACCCATGACAAAGAACAGAATGTTTTTGTTGAACATTCAAAGTGTAGTCCCTATGTGTTTGAAGTCTTGTTTTAAAGAATCATTTCGTTATGGCATATGAGGCTCGGACATTTGAATTTTGATGGCCTAAAATTAATGAGCAAAGAAATAATGGTGAAAGGATTGCCCTCCATAAACCATTCAAACCAACTTTGTGAGTGATATCTTTTTGACAAACAAGCAAGAAAGAGTTTTTCAAAAGAGTCTATGATAAGAGCTCAACATCCATTGTGGTTGATTCACTCGGATGTATGTGGACCAATCAAGCCATCATCGCTTAGTAAGAAAAATTATTTTGTACTTTTTCATTAATGATTATTCTCGCAAAACTTGGGTGTATTTCTTGAATGAAAAATCGGAGGTGTTTGAAACTTTCAAAAGATTCAAGACAATGGTGGAGAAACAAAGTGGCTACCATATTAAAGCTCTTCGGTCCGATAGAGGTGGTGAGTTCACCTCAAATGCATTCAAGGAGTTTTGTGAGAAATTGAGCCTGTAAGTTATGATGATGCCGTTTGTGATGAAAAATGGAGAGCCGCCATGGATGAAGAAATCAAAGCAATCGAGAAGAATGATACATGGGAGTTATCATCACTGCCTAAAGGTAAGAACACAATTGGTGTGAAATGGGTGTATAAAATAAAGAAAAATGTGAAGGGTGAGATAGAGAAGTATAAAGTAAGATTGGTTGCCAAAGAGTATAAGCAAAAAGTCGGGATTGATTATGATGAAGTGTTTGCTCCCGTTGCTAGCTTAGAAACTATTCGATTGATTATTTCCTTGACAACCCAAAATCATTGAAAAATTCATCAAATGGATGTGAAATCCACTTTTTTGAATGGATTTTCGGATGAAGAAGTATATGTCGATCAACCAATGGGTTATGTGGTTAAAGAACATGAACATAAAGTTTTGAAGTTGAAGAAGGCTCTCTACGGTTTGAAACAAGCTCCTCGTGCTTGGAATAATAGAATTGATAAGTATTTTCAAGCAAATTGTTTTTCGAAGTGTCCACATGAACACGCACTCTATGTAAAGCTAACTAAAAATGGTGATGTGTTACTTGCTTGCTTGTATGTGGATGACTTGATTTTTGCAAGAAACAATCCAAAGATGTTTGATGATTTCAAGAGAGCTATGACAATGGAGTTTGAGATGATGGATATTGGATTAATGTCCTATTATCTTGGCATTGGAGTAAAACAAAGGAATGATGGCATATTTATCTCTCAAGAAGGATACGCAAAAGAAGTTCTCAAGAGATTTGAAATGGAGAAATGTAAGCTGGTTAGCACCCCCGTGGAATGTGGGGTCAAATTCTCTTTGCATGAAGATGGCGAGAAAATTAATCCCACATTTTTTAAAAGTCTTGTTGGAAGTTTGAGGTATTTAACATGTACAAGACCCGATATTCTATTTGGCATTGGACTTGTGAGTCGACACATGGAAGCTCTTACTACATCACATTTGAAGGTAGCCAAAAGGATACTTCGGTACGTTAAAGGTACGATTGAGTATGTAATTTTTTATACATCTTCCCATGACTTTAAGCTTGTTGGCTATTGTGATAGCGATTGGGCCGGTGATATTGATAGTCGGAAAAGTACTACCGGGTTTGTTTTCTTTATGGAAAATTCGGCATTTTCTTGGAATTCTAAAAAGCAGCCTATTGTGATTCTTTCAACATGTGAAGCACAATAAGTTGCGGCTACTTCTTGTGTGTGTCATGCTATTTGGTTGAGAAGTTTGTTGAAGGAACTTCATTTCCCACAAGAAGGTTCGACGAAAATTTATATTGATAATAAGTCTGCTATAGCATTGGCCAAAAACCCGATGTTTCATGATAGAAGCAAGCATATTAATACTAAGTATCATTTTATTCGAGATTGCATATCCGAGGAAGAAGTGAAGCTTGAATTCGTGAAATCTCAAGACCAGATTGCGGATATTTTCATGAAGCCCTTAAAGTTTGATGTTGTTCAAAAGTTGCGGTTTTTACTTGAAGTAATGAATCTAGTTTAAGGGGGATGTTGGAAAATTAAACTAAATTCATGAAATCCTAGAAGTTTCTATTCATAAATATGGGGCAATACATGAATGTATGGAATTTCAGTTTAGCACCTATAAATACTCTATGTAATGTAGCCATTCGATAAAAGTGGAGTTCAAGTGATAATAAGAATTCTTATAAGTTTCCTTCACTTTTCACTTGGGTGTGTGTGAGTTTCTAAATTTATGCTCTCCAATTTCTAATAGCCATAACAACCATTTTCAAACTATCTGACTATTATAATTCATCTTCTCACATATAGACCTATTCTTATCTTTTGATTTTCCTGGTGCATTTGAATGATCCCTTTAAATAAGGTCTCCCTGTTAAAAATATGTTTTTTTATTTAATTTTAAGTCTTCACCTCAAGATATCCGTAGAATTGTACACAATGAAATCGTAGAATTACCCCCAATACAACAAATAATCCACAACAAATGCCTGCAAACAATAAATATGTAGAAGTTCAACTCGAAATGACTAGAAATCATATCAAAAAGTATGTAGAGTAAGTATGTCATTCTGCAGTTAATTATAGTTAAATCATCAAACTATTATAGAAGAAAGGTTATAACAAAACTTAACAAAGCAATCTGGAATCCTCAAAATGTATTAAATACAGGTACTAGCATAAAATTCATTGAATTTTCAAACTTGACATACCCAACAAAAGAGAAATCTTCTTTCTAGAATATTTTTTATTGAAAAAATGTGGTAAAAATATTCTTAGTGTCATAGTGTTATCACGCACAATGAACTCATTCTTAAGTATTTGAACACCAAATGAAGATGTATAACATCTTCTACAGAAATTTAAAAGATTTATTGAATACACATGCCAACACTTGTGTCACTAAAAAGCATCATATATGAGCAATTAAATATGTTCATAAGAATGAATTTAAGTGAAAGGACAATTATAAATGGAGGAAAAAGATCCTAAATTTCCATCTTTTGCCCATTCTACTCGGTGAAATTGTCATGAAAAGTTACAGGAGGAATTGTAAATGAGAAACACAGCAGAAAAGGAAAGGATGCAAGAGCATAGAAATTTATATGTAAAGTAGACATTGACAGAGAACATGTAAGAGTTCCTGCCAGATGACAATGTGGTGCAACAATATGAAACTGAATGTTAGAACTTCAAATTCTATCTGTATAATGAAACCAAATCCAAATTCATTGTGTAGATATATCTAATTTCAGTTGCGAGGATAATAAAATTGTTTGCCAAAAACATACTGACGAGAGAGATTTCATGATTTTTTTTTTTTTTTTTGGGGGATCAACAGAAAGAATGTTCGAAAGAAAATATGCAGAAAATCCAAACCTGCATATCAAAACCAAATCCAGACTCAATATAGATACATCGAATGCTTATGTATGTGTAAATATATACACAGAAACGGTTGCTCAAAACCCTAGCCTGATTTTGAGCTTATTGAACAATATGATTTGCTACAGATTCAGAAAGTGGGATTTCTACTTTAGAAATCGAAATTTAAAATCCTCAACTCTAAATTAACTACAACACATGCATCAGTAGATAGAGAAAATTGCAGAATTAAATACACAAGTACCAGTAGATAGAGAAAATTGCGAATTAAACTGGAAGCGAGATTATACAGGCAGATGCGAGTCTTGAATCTTCTTTTTTATGTATTTAAATTAAAATATTACCTTTGGAATTACTTTCTCACATCTTTTTCTGAAATGAATCGATAGGGAGGAAGCCGAAATTAATGCATAGGGAGAGAGGTTGATTTGATGAAAGAAAGAAAATATGGTCCGAAAGGGGAGTCAATATTTGGGTAATACATGGAGTATTTTGGGTCATTTAATTTAGTGAGCATTTTGATGAATGCTATATTATATTTAAATGTTATAAAATATATGATATTTAAAAAATGAGAGTATTGTTATCTTAATCTTTTCTTATACCTCAATTTCGGGAAAAATGTTCATGCATGGTGCTACAAATCCTTTAGAACATAGCGCTTCACATCCTGAATTTGTTAATCGATTATTGGAGAGTTTATTATGTAGTTTTACATCGTAATGCCACCTTGCTGGCATTCTATTTTTAATCGATGCAAACTTTACGTTTTATCCTGTTTGATGCCTCACGTTTGCAGATGCCTATTATTCACACTTGTCGCGTTTACTCGATGGAATTAATAAAGAAAAATAATTTCATCTACATGGCCGATAACATTTTGTTTGGCTGATTTCTATAGATAATTTCTTATTGCAAAGCGAAAGATACACAACTATGTCAGAACCTGGCTGGAAATTTTAAAATGAAATTCAGATTACAAATGCAGGGAAATTGGTTCAAAGATCAACGAAATTATATTCTTTTTAGTCTCAAGATGAGGAACTCCAAATCCATCTCCATACTGGTACATGCATTGACCAATCCGTGCTAGATTCATTGCAGTACCAACGAAATCTTTGTAGGGGCTTTCCATTAGTATTTCTTTGTTCATTTTCTTCCATGTCACATCAATTAGATACTTAATATAATCTCTAGCATCCTCTTCAGAACACCCCGTGTCCTTCATGTAACACTGGATTGCTTTTGGAACGTCGCCTCTCTTGATTTCGTCCTGGATATTGGGCATAAATTATTGTGCTTATATTGTATGTAAGAAATTAATGTTGAAATGTAGTATGTACAACATATTTGGTAAGCAGTACTTGACGTGACCTATTATTATTCAGTACTGTATAGTCATGTCTAGTATTGTATACCAAACTGCATTTAGGGTTTAGTTTGCATACTGATGAAGTTCCTAGGTCGTCTGCTAGACGAACAACCAGTGATGGCCAGTGAATGATGCCGAGATATTGCTCCAAACTTCCCAAATCCTTCTTTGTTAATGGGCTTATTGTGCAAAAATAAGCATTAAAAAGAAGCACAGGTCCAGATATGGATATCCAGGCTGCGTTTAGGTACTCACTGAGGCTGGGAAAATACCCACTGTTGTACCATCTTGCTTCCATCAAGAAATGTCTACAAAGCTCTGCCCACTGATGTATGTAAAAATTATGAAATGAAGAGTCAGAGATTTGGGTATTATATTGATCTAGATCAGTTAATAATTTTCAGCGTGTAACATTAATGAAGCAACCATATCATGAGCGAAAAAAGAAAGTAGAATAAGAAACAGAGGGAAAAACTATAATACCAATTTCCGAGCGTTCGAGATTATGTTGAGACCTTGATCTTTAAGAATGTTGTAAGCCATTTCATTAGTGGAGTTGAAGAGAGTAAGGAAACACATCCTCATGTACTCTGGAAGCTGGTTCAATGCATTGATGTCCCATCTGATATACCAAAAATATAAAGTTTTTTTCTGAGGCAAAACCAAAATCTTCAAAACCAAAATTTGTTAATATCTATTTTCATCATTTTCTTTCTTTCTTTTTGGGAGATGGGGTCGGAGAGAGGTGTAAAATATGTTGAGTTGTCCAATACGTAAAAAAGGAGAGACTGTTTTGTGACATGTATAGTGAGCTGACCAACCTTTACAATCGAGCTTTGATGGCACGGTTATAAAGGTTTATAACTCACCTACTCATTAATATGGACTTGTGTTTAACATGTCCGGACCAGATTATCTCAGAAGGATGGGGATGCTGTGGCAAAAGAAGTAAAAACTGTTCATTACAATGCACTAACCTCTCCACTATATCGGTAAAAAGTTCAAGTTCATCTAAGCTCCCATATACATCATATATGTCGTCTATTATTGTTACCATTACAGCAATCTTGGTTAAAACCTTCCTACAGTATCCAAATTGAGGTTCTGGAGTGAATCCCAATGCCCACAAGAAACACTCCACCAATCTGTCCCGAGCAAAGCTCAACTTTTCTGGAAGACAAGTTTCTTTATTCCACCTGTCAAATAAAAAGTTAGAACACAAATCTTTGGCTCAAAATTGAAAAAGGAATTCTTTTTATGTTCTTTCTGAGATGGAACCCTAATCCTGTTCTACTTACCTTGACATTTGCTTTATTTCATCCTGATATATAGCCTGTACGATGTTGAAATCCAACTTAGCAAGTTCAAGTAAAATAAGGTTTGCGTCGTGTCTATTCTCGTATACATTTATAAACCATTTTGCTTCTAGTTTCTGCACTCTCCAGTGCAGTGGAAGCTCCAGTGCATGGCTGACTTCTGCAGCAAGACCCTGGTCTGTAATATGCTGGCGTTTTTCCTTGAGATGTCGAGTTGCAAAATTTCGGGCCTCACCAAGGATGCCTTCATTTTCCATGGACAGAAATGAAGCTTCATACATAGATAAAACTCCCTCGATATCACCAGAAAGTTCTGCACGGAAATTTCCTCCCTCGTCCATGAAACTGCAGAAAACCTCTGGAAAGATAAAAAATTGTTAGAGAAATTAAAAAGCAACCATCCAAATCTATTTCTGGAATTTTTGGTTTAATTGAGACAAGATTTCATTTTTCTTCTTCTTCTTATAAGTGTCAAGTTCACAGTCCACTATATTAAACACACAGTTAGGGTATTTTTATGATCTTTAAATTTACCTCTATAAAAGAAAAGAAGCTTTCTAGTAGTGGTGCCATACCTTGAGGGACCTGGTATCCATGCTGCCTAAGGAGTCTAAATTTAAGAGCTGTTGAATATAAATTCTTTTCGTTCTCGTTATTTTGACCAGTAGTACTATTTTGGTACGTTTGCTCCAATAATTTCTTTATTTCATCCCGAAAGTGGTAAGAAACATCAAGCCTTTGCAAACTATCAATAAGCTCAAGTTGATCTAGCTCGTCTTCCATTTCATTGATGATAATTCTCATCTTTTCTTTCAGATTCTCAGCAAGTTCCAAGTACTCTTTTCCCTGCAGGTTTACAACGGCAGTATCAAAAACAGACAATGAAAAATGAAAGAGCTGTTATTTTCTTCATCTTACCACATAAGGATTAGATAATGACTGCAAATAATCATCATTCCAAATGCTTGGTTCATAGTTTCCAGATCTTCTTGCCTCCATGAATTCTGAAATGTACTGTATGGGAAACAGGTTTCCAGGTGCATGAACTTATAGCACTTGTGGTTCTTATTTATAGTGTTGAGGGAGAAAAAGAAACAAAAACAGGTCATTTACAAGCATCTATTTATAATACACTCTTGTCTGCTAACATTTCGCTACAAGACATTTCATTATTAAATAATTTTTTTTTTGTCATAATTTGTTAAGTCGTTTCTTTAAAAATATATTGGCAAGAGACTTTTCAAGATAAAAAAATTTATCGTTAAAAGTAAAATTATAATATATCAGACTACACGTCAAAATTCAATTTTATTCACATTTTACAATTTATCACCTTTTCGAACTCATATTTTATTAACTTTTATAAAAAAAATTTGTTAAAGAAACCCTCTAGTGTATTATAGTTCTACTCATTCAAGGAAAAAAAAAAGGGAAATACCATAAAATGGCGAGGATCAAATGTCCTTTTGAATAAATGACCACCTTATGCTAATATTACGAAAATGATCCCTTTTAAATGAAATTATAAAAAAAATTACTAAAATTGAATAGATTTAATTATTATTATTATTATTATTATTATTATTAAGTTTTATTAATTAGTGGGTCCCACCTCCATGTGAGAGGTTGTAATTTCTTAATCATTGTACATTTATTGGGGTAGTTTTCAGAGATGGGGGCATGGTGGGTAAGGAAGGTAAGGGATGGGACAAGATTAAAACAATCCTCATTTGCCACCCGTTTAATTAATTAATTCTTCAATATCATTATTTATTTTTAAAATATGATTTAAATCGAAAATAATAAAATTCAAGAAAGGTTAGGGCAATTCTTACGGGGACCATGATACCTGTTGTCCGACTTGACGAATTGGACAGGGAATTTGGTCCTTCCTATTCGCAAAAGTTTAGGGTATATCCCAAGCAGGTAAATGAATGATTAAAATGAAGGATAACGCTGATTTATTAGAAGGATTTGACAAAAGACTTGACGTAATTGTATGCGGCAGTAGATGATTGAATAAAAAAATTGATTGTATTTTAAACTATTAAATGATAGAATGTCACGTGACATTATGTCAAATTTTATGTTAACGTTGATGTTCATGTAACATGATTGATGAATGAAATCATAAATAAGATGTAGATGACCCTTATGGAGTGTCAGAAATTCAATGAGACGACTGCCATTTTTTTTTAAAAATATTTTATTGTAGATTAAAACCTTCGAAGTTGAAAAATGGTGAATCTTTTTCGCTCCATCGCACGGGCTAAAACTCTATTACAGGTTAACAATGAACCCTTTAGTATATAATTTATTAAAGCAGAAAGAAAGATTTTCTTCCACAGTACGAGGCTGATTTAGAGTATAACAATGTGAGTACATTTCCTTAGAATTCAAGCATTCATTCCTTGGATTCTAGATGAATTCTTGGATCATTGAGTAATATATATATTTTAAAGTTTGTGAATCTTTCTATATACAAAAATAAATATAACAAATAATAACTGAGTTTTTTATGTCTACAAAAATAAATAATAAATTGAGTTCAAAACATAGAAAATAAAAATAAGATTTAATAATGTGCACTAAGAATATTTTTATCTATATTCATTTAAATATATCTTTGCAAATTTTATATAAATAATCATGGCTAATTATATTCACACCACAATTTCATTATACTTTGGGTTTTCAATCTTTGTTCATTATACCACTTATATTCCTAACAACTTTCACATCTATTAGTTAACATATTTTATATTTAATAACAATTGACGTGATTCATGATATGAGTGCGAGTTTGGGCAATGATCCATTAATCATTGAGGAAAGGCCTATGATTAGGTCGCGAGCGAAACAGATCAAAGAAGTATTTGGATTACTTGCTCAAACAATGGTGGACGAAACATTGATCACGACAAGCAAATTGACAAGTTTTATGTTGAGCATGGGAGATGAAACGAAGTGGAGCAACTTGATTCAAGCAATGGATGTATTGGCTAGAAGGAATGGACATGCCTACATGCCTCTTTATCGAAACCACATAGGAGGACATTAGTTGGTCTATGCGGCCGCATAAATTTACACTATGTGGCCGCATAGTACATTTGTGGACGCATACTTTTCAAATTTCACGAAATCTTCTATTTTAGTTAAAACTCTAATTTGTTATATCTTTTTTTATTTTTAGAGTTTAATTCCATTTTTCTAGGATTTTAGAGATTTCATATAAGTATAGCTATTATTTTCATTGTAAGACACAATTATCGAGAGATTAATTGTAAGGCATTATTACTTTCTTCTTGTTCTTCATCCAATTTATTCTGAACTTGTGAAGATTATTTCTTGTGGTGTTCAAACAAATTGAGTGAGATTCTCGAGTCTTGTAATCACGGAATAAACATATTGTCGCGATTGTGTGTATTTCTTGGTTCAATATTTTTGAATCAAGGCTAAACATTGATTCTTAACTTTTTTGAGATTCAATCAATCTTGTGTGGGTTTCGTAACTTCAATTGTTACGTGGGTTCCCATCAACAATTTTATATTGAAAAGCCCATTGAAATAACATATATATAACAACTTATTTTCTCATCATATTTTAAAAAGATAAATAAATAAAAAGTACGAAAAAATATTTATTCCTCATTTCAAAACATGTATATAAAATATTTGATATAAATTATTATCAACGACGAGACATACTAATTAAATGAAAGGTTAAAAATAAGAATCCGACGAAAAAGAAAATAATTGTTATAATGAGCAAATATTGATAAGTTTAACTACAATTAAAATGTAGTGTATCAAATAATACTTGTGGTGACAATATAACCAACCAATAATCATTAAGAATTTGAACTATTTTTATTTTTTATAATTTTTTTTTCTATTTTTTTATTTTTTATAGTATAATTATTTGAGAATTTTAGTTTTTATTTTCTCAAAATCTTTATTTTTAATTTATTTAGAATTTACCAAATTTATTTTTTAAAATTTTATTTATTTTTTTGAAATTTAATTATTTATAATTTTATATTTTTATTTTTTAAATTTTTATTTAAACACTTGTTTTCCATAGGGGGGAACCCGATCGAACCCGCTAAAATCGCCAAAATCGACCCAACCCGATCGGGTTGGGTTGATTTTTTTTATTTTTTTTGTTTTTACACGGGTTGGGTGGGTTGGTTGTGTACGCGGGTTGGGTTGGGTCGGGTTATGGGTTGACTCATGAAAACTAAATAAACCCGCCCAACCCAACTCGCCACTTAAAAAAAAAAGAAAAAAAATGTTTAGAAAAGTAAAAGAAACCTAAAAAGTATGAGCAGATAGTGTAACTGTAATTACCTTGATGTATTTTACAGGAGGAGCTTACTACTCTTCCTACAAGAAATATAGTATAAGTTTTCCATGTTATTTTAAATGCACTTTATTTTTTGTAGGCTCGGCTAATGAGGATTGAATAAGATAATAGATAATTTTATTTATTTACTTACTATATAATATTGTCTATTCGAATTTAGTATAATAGAAAATTTGATAACTTTAATTTTTGTTGACAAGTCGTCCCAACCCGACCAACCCAACCCGACAGATACTTGATTGGGTTGGGTTGGGTTGGGTTGGATTGGGTCAACCTTTACACGGGTTAGGTTGGGTTAAGTTTTGATCAAACCGATCATGTTGGGTTGGGTTTGGGTTGAGGCAAAAATCGACTCAACCCAACCCAACCCTAGTTTTTCATATTTTGAGCGTTTTCAGAATTATCACTAAAAACACTATAAATGTCAAAAATACATTTTCAGTTTTATGTTATAAATTTAATTTTGTTTTCAAAAATCTATTTTCAGAAATATTAGACCAAACATGTTTTAAATATTTTACAAAATTAAGAACTGAAAACATCGAACCAAACTCATCCTGCTGATGAGCCTTAATATAGATTATTTCAACATTTAATTGAATATTTCATGGTAATCAAATCAATGCATTTTTTACAACTTCAATTCGCTTAGCTGGAGCTGGACACAAAGTCAAGTGACTTCAGATTCAAACGGAAGATTGCGCAAACCTTTTCCCTAGACATTAATTTAATAAATTATTGAACCTTGCTACAGGTACACGGCCGTTTACACGTCCGTGTACCCGACCCCACGCCCCCCTCTCACAATG